ATAACAAAATTGTTAAGGCAAGTGGTATATGAGAGGTTTTCTTAGCTTATGTGTAGGAGGAGAAGAAAGAAGAAGAGAAGATTAGAAAGAGATACCATGTTGTGTCATAGAGTATGCCACGGAAGTGGTTTCCGCAGATGATTATTACCTTAGAATGCCCTCCAAGCGGGAGATTGATTTACGCATTGAACTGGTTATGGAGCAAATCCTATTTCTAAAGCCCCTTAATAAGGATGGCCATAAAAGAGCTGAAGGAACTGAAAGAACAATTAAAGGTTTCTTAATAAGGATTTATTAGGCCTAGCACTTTCCTTGGGATGGCTCCTGTGCCTCTTTGTGAAGAAGAAGGATGGAAGTTAAGGCTTTGTAATAACCTACAGAGAATTGAACAAGTTGACTATAAAGAATAATCCCCTCTTTCCGAAGAATTGATGACTTGTTTGATCAGTTGGAGGGTGCCTCTGTGGTTTTCCAAGATAGACCTTGAGATTCAGGTACTTCACAGCTTAAGGTTAGAGAAGAGGAGACATAGCAAAGACAGCATTCAACACTAGATATGGGCATTTGAGTTTTGATCAGTTGGGGCGTCGGGCAAGGGTGGACGGCTGCTCCGGCGACTTTTTCAGGCGAAAAAAACTTGAGGAAATTCGTAGAGGAGCTTGGAAGTTTAAAGGTATGCAAATAGAACTAAGGTTTTTCCCTCTTATTCTCAAGATTTTTGGATGAGAAGATTTCTAGGATTTTGAAAAAAACTAAGTTTTTCTTTGAGATTCTTTTGAGAAAAGTTTAGGGAAGGTTAGGGGGATGTTTCCCTAAACCCTAAATGTGCATTTTCTTTTTCAATAAAATATGAGTTTTTGAAATTAGGGGGTTTTTGCTTAAAAGTTGTTTTCTTTGAAATTCTTCACAAACGTTGTTTTCTAATGACTTGAGAAAGCTTTTATGTAAAGACATTGTAAGGTTAAGTTAAATGTGAGTTTAGGGATTTTAGGTGTTCTCCAAATGAAGAAATTTGTGATTCCTAAAGTTCTAAAATGACTTTTAGAAAGATTTTTAAATTGATTTATGGCTTTTACTTGAAGGGCAAGTTTTTAATTATGTAGATTACTTTAATCCAAGAAAGTCATGATGTTTTAATTAACTGTATTCGGTAGTAGGATGAATGTTTGCTTTATATAAGATCTTGTTTTTGTTAACTAAACCCTAATTGAGGTGAAGGGTAGTGAGAGATATCATGTTTTTAGTAATGGAGGGGTTGCATTAAAACTTATACAAGATATTAGATTGAACTCCACCTTACTTTCGATAAAGAATTTTAGGGAATTGTAAGAGGAACTAGTTATTATGCTTTTCTTGTATCTTTCTTTTTAGATATAAAATCGTGTGGAGGGAAAGAATGATTGGTCAAAGGAGGAATTCAAAAACGGATTAAGGTAGGTGGATGATTTTCTTTTAAATGTTAGACCACTTTTATTTCATGAATTACATAGAAATTAGTCCAAATCATTTATGCCACATTTGAACCATTTTTTTTTATGTCTCAGCTTTTTCTTTTGTAAGTTATGGAATACTTGAGTCAATTCAAATGTTTCCCCTTATGAAATGCTCAACTTATGATTGGATTACATACTCATTTCCTACACTTGCCTCCTACATGACTTTCTCTACCTTACTGCAATGTACATATAAGCATAACAAGTAAATGCATCTTTGAGGAAACATACACTTGCATAGCTTATGGATAATTCCTACATGGAGCATCTTTATGATTATTTAAGTAATAGATGTAGTGCATGTTGACAGTGGGGAGTATCACCTAAGAAAAGGAGGCCTCTTATGGCCATGGAAAAGGAGGTCTTATGAGCCCATGGAAAAGGATGGTTCCCTTGAACCAATGGAAGGAAATGGCCAATTTATATGTACCTGATCAGTACAAGTGATACTCCTGAGACGGGTGTTATAGTTATATGCATATTAAACTAATTTAATGAATGTTTCATACACATGTTACAATGCAAATGAGATTATCCCTTGAGGCATGATTTTAAAAAGAAAGAAAAGAAAAAAAGGTTATGGAAGGATTAGCATTTGAAAGTTGAGGTAAAAGGTATGGCTTTTCTTTGAGCACAACTATTTTATGATTGATGATCTTTTGTTAAAATTTTTCCAAAAGCATGTTTAAGTTTTTCCTCTTGATTTTAAGTTTAATTGAATTTTATTCCACCTATTGAGTGTAAGACTCACCCTTGGTTGTTGGGAATACTTTTCAGAGGAACTAGAAAAGGGGTTAGATTGGCCACCAATCCACCGCACACCTACCGTCGTAGGGAAACGACGGGCGGCAGGTTCTTTTGTGTTTTTGGTGTTTTGTAGTGAAAGTTAGAATTAGAATGAAAGAAAAAAAATGTATACTTATGGATCCTTTTTGTATCTTTTGTATCTTAAAGCTAAACATTTTTTATTGGTGTCCTGAAAGAAAGAAAAGAAAAAGTTATGTTTTGGGAAATTTTTAGTGGCCTTTCTTTATGTTGATGTTTCTTTTGGAGTTTATATTTAATTTCTTGCAATGTTTCTTCATCTTCCTTTATGTCCGATCTCTGTTCCCGCCTCGCACTTGCGAGCTCACCAGGCGCCGGGTCGTGACACTATTCCATATCTTTTTGTTTTTGCTAACTTATATAATATATATATATTATATATATATTTCTCCTTCCTTAGCATCTAATATATTATATAAATCATTAAAACCTAAGATCTTTGCATCACATATAACCTTCTTAGATTCTTACGTTTCTCTTTATACTTTCTCAATTATCAGAAATTTTAACATCTAAACTATTTTTATATAAATTTATTATTTTTTATCTTTTCTTGGGCACACTTGAATTCTATCACAAACTATTTTTTAATTAGGAAGCTTTTCGCCCTTTGATACTGCAAGCATACCATTTTTTGTATATATTTTTAATATCACTCGGACAGCCGCTTTATCAACATAAATTAACATTCTGCATATACAAATAAATTTCTTAAGATCTAAAATCTTACCTTAAAAATATTATTATTATTACCTTAAGATACCTCATTAATCCTAGAATATTATGTTTACTTTATAATTTTTTATTTTTTCCCTTTATCTTAAAGCCAAAACTAATGATCAATATTGGTACTATAACTTATTCATTTGTAATAACTTTCCATAATTCTTTACAATCTAAATAGACATATTTTCTTATATAAATAATTAATTTACATTACGTTTTATATATATCCACTTGTTTATCAGTAGATCAAAGATGTAAAGCTACTAACACCCCTCTTGCTTTAGCAAACCTCCTCATTATCGACCGGCACTTAAAAACACATAACAGTTAAAGAATCAAATTAAAGGACCTGAACTGCACCATCATTTGTGCATCCAAACATCATGACTCACATCATGAGCATGATTGCTTTAAAATCAGCAATGAGTCCATGCTAATTACTAGATTATATGCTCATTTAAATTTTCCTCCAATATAAA